CTCCCCTCGTTCTCGACGAACTTGGTGAGTGGTGCTGACCTGCAGGATGCGGGGGTTCACCAGTTTACTCCTGCGAGTCAGCGGGTGACCCACTGCTCGGACGCCCGCACAGGCCGACACCTGGCCCCGTTTACGCGTCGGCCGGGGTCGAGCCTCTACACCCTTACCATTGAGTCTCCTCCTGTCCCTGCGTCTGGCCAGGTAGATGCGTCGGGTCAGGTGTTTGCTGCAGCGTCCAGGTCTTGTCCTGAGTCTGCCCCCTGCTCGTGTCGCCTCTTGTCTCACAAGACTCTCCTGTGGCACCACCGTCTTGGACACCCCTCCCTGCCTCGTCTTCGGGGCATGGCTTCCCGTGTCCTTGTCTCTGGTCTTCCCCAGTCCCTCCCTCCCCTTCCTTTGGGGCCTGGTCCTTCTTATGTCCCCTGTGTCAAGGGGCGGCTCCGGGCTGCCCCTCACACCTCTCAGTTTCCCTCGACAGAGGCTCCGTTGCAGACGCTTCACATGGACGTGTGGGGCCCGGCCCGCGTCCATGAACAGGGTCACGAGCGCTACTTCCTGCTGGTGGTTGACGACTACTCGCGTTACACCACGGTCTTCCCCTTGCACAGCAAGGGTGATGTCACTGAGGTGTTGATCGATTGGATCCGCGTAGCTCGTCTCAAGCTCAGGAGGAGCTTCGGCTCGGACTTTCCTGTTCTGCGTCTGCACTCTGACCGAGGCGGAGAGTTCTCCTCTAGCCTTCTGCGAGCCTACTATCGTGCGCGAGGCATCCGCTAGACCTTTACGCTTCCGGACTCTCCACAGCAAAATGGGATTGCTGAGCGCCGCATTGGCATGGTCATGGATGTCGCTCGTACGTCCATGATGCATGCGGCTGCCCCCCATTTCCTGTGGCCGTTTGCGGTTCGGTATGCGGCGCATCAGATCAACCTTCACCCCAGGGTCTCCCGGCCGGATACCTCCCCAGCTCTGCTGTGGACGAGGAAGGTCGGCGATGCGTCTGCGTTCCGTGTCTGGGGATCTCGAGCATTTGTCCGCGACTTGTCTGCGGACAAGCTGTCCCCTCGTGCTGCTCCCTGTGTCTTCCTTGGCTTCCCCCCTGACGCACCAGGGTGGCACTTCTACCACCCCTCCTCTCGTCGTGTTCTGTCCTCCCAGGACGTCACGTTCGACGAGTCATTCCCCTACTACCGTCTCTTCCCCTACCGCACTCCTTCCCTTCCCCCGCCTCCGCACTTCCTTGTGCCAGGTCCCCCCCCGGTAGACCCCCTTCCCCCTCAGGGTCCTGCCCCTTCAGGTGTGTCCCAGGTAGACGCGGTCGAGCCGGTCGAGGTTGCAGGTGACTCTGGTCCTGCTGCGGGTACTGAGCCTGGGGGTGCTGACTCTAGGGGTGCTGCGCGCGTGGGTGCTGAGCCTGGGGGTGCTGAGTCTGGGGGTGCTGCGACTGGGGGTGCTGAGCCTGGGGGTGCTGAGCCTGGGGGTACTGCGACTAGGGGTGCTGAGCCTGGGGGTGCTGAGCTTGGGGGTGCTACGTCAGGAGCTACTGAGCCACGGGGTGCTGCGTCTGGAGCTGCTGAGCCTGGAGGTGCGGAGCCTGCGGCCGCAGGACCTCCCCTGGTGGCGTCTGGCGGTGCTGGGCCTGGAGGTTCTCCGGGTGCTTCGTCTCGGCGGGAGCCACTCTCTCCACAAGAGCCGCGCGAACGGTTTGCTCGCCGCTAGAGGCGTACTGCTGGAGCTGGAGCTTCTTCGGCCGCTGAGGGTGCTGGTGCCGCCGGTCCTGGAGCTGCTGGGCCTGCGGGTCCGACTAGAGCTGGAGCTGTTGAGGGTGTTGGTGCTGAGGCTACTGCTGTCCGTCCTGGCAGTGGTCCTGCTGCGGGTGCTGCTGGTGCTGCTGGAGGTCCTGCAGCTGGAGGTGCTCCTGGCACTAGTGCTGCCGCTGAGGGTGCTGGTGCTGTCCTTGCTGTGTCTGGAGTTGTCGCGCGGCCTCGGCCGTACTTTGTTCTGCTCCTTCAGCAGTTTCTTGGTCCTCCTCCTCCTGTAGAGTGTCCACCGCCTGTCCAGTCACAGTCACAGTTAGAGCCCGCCTCCCCACTGCCTGCTCCCTCTCCTTACACTGGTCCTACTGGAGGTCTTGCTGAGCGTCGTGAGCCTGCGTCTCGTCCCGCGTCGCCTGTTCGTGCTGCTCGCACTAGTGGTCGCCGTTCGCGTCAGCGTCCTCCTCCTATCCCTGGCACGCACCGGATGTCTCTGCGTCCGTCCAGTGCTCCTCCGCGTGTCCCTTTGCCCTCTCCTCTTGCGTCCTCTCTTCCTGCGCTTGCCGACCCGGGGTCGGACTCTCTTCGTGCTGCCAGTCCTACTGTCACGCGTCTCCTTGCTACTGTCGTCACTGACCCCTCTATTGAGTCCACTGCTGCGTCTGCTCTTGTTGCTGAGCTCGTCGACTTTGCTGCTCGCTGTCGTCTAGACTACACTGCTAGTCTTGTTGCTGAGTGTGCGTCTGTCTGTCCTCCGTCCTTCGGGGGTGAGTGTGCTCTTGGCACGGACGTCCTTGAGGACAGGCAGGAGGAGTTCCAGTGTCTGGCTGCTGCTTCACCTCATCTTACGTCCGTACTGCTTGCCCCTGAGGGAGACCCGGATGCACTTGACATCCCGACTCCGCGCTCTTACGCGGAGGCCGTAGAGGGTCCCTACTCCTCTCAGTGGCAGGCAGCTACGGATGCAGAGATGGCTTCCTGGAAGTCCACAGGCACCTACGTTGACGCGGTTCCCCCTCCTGGGGCGAACATCGTCAGTGGCATGTGGATCTTCAGGGTGAAGCGGCCGCCTGGCTCTCCACCTGTCTTGAAGGCGCGGTACGTGGCTCGTGGCTTCAGTCAGCGGCAGGAAGTTGACTACTTTCAGACCTTCTCTCCCACCCCGAAGATGACCACTCTTCGGGTGCTGCTGCACATAGCCGCTCAGCGCGACTACGAGCTTCACTCTCTTGACTTCAGCACTGCTTCACTGGGACTTTCCCTCCTGGCACCCAGTGGAGCTTCCGACGGCCAGTCTACGGTCTTCGCCAGGCACCTCGTGAGTGGCACGACACACTGAGGACTACACTTGCGGCTCTTGGGTTTGCTTCCTCTACTGCTGACCCGTCATTGTTTCTGCGCACCGACACCTCTCTGCCGCCGTTCTACATCCTCGTGTACGTCGACGACTTGGTCTTTGCCACAGCTGACACTGGTGGACTCGCCTACATGAAGTCTGAGCTGCAGAAGAGACACACGTGCACAAACCTGGGTGAACTGCGTAGCTACCTTGGCTTGCAGATCACCCGGGACAGAGCACGCCGCACCGCTACCTTGACTCAGTCACACATGGTGCAGCAGGTCCTTCAGCGCTTCGGCTTCACGTACTCCTCGCCTCAGGCCACTCCTCTGTCTACTCGCCACTCGCTCTCAGCTCTGCCTTCGGATGAGTCCTTAGAGTCGAGTGGCCCGTACCCAGAGCTTGTTGGCTGCCTCATGTACCTGATGACCTGCACACGACCTGACCTTGCATACCCTCTTAGCATTCTTGCACGCTATGTTGCTCCTGGGAGACACAGACCAGAGCACATGGCTGCAGCGAAGAGGGTGTTGCGCTACTTGTGCAGTACGTCGGGCATGGGGCTAGTGCTTGGAGGGCGGAGTCCAGTGGTCCTCACTAGGCACGCGGACGCTTCTTGGGCTGACGACCAGGCTACACAGCGGTCGTCCCAGGGTTACACCTTCAGTCTTGGTTCCGGCTCTGTTTCATGGCGGGCTACTCGCTCGTCTTCTGCTCTCGGCTCCAGTTGTGAGGCTGAGATCTACGCCGGGGCCATGGCTGCACAGGAGCTTCGCTGGCTCACCTACCTGCTGACTGACCTCGGAGAGCCGCCTCGTTCTCCTCCAGTGCTGTACGTAGACAACAAGGCCATGCTAGCCTTGTGTCGGGAGCATTGCCGGAGCACAGAACGAAGCACATTGCTCTCCGCTACTTTCTTGCTCGTGAGCTGCAGCAGCGTGGTCAGTTGCGACTTGCGTACATGGCCTCTGAAGCCAACACTGCTGATGTTTTCACCAAGGCACTTCCGCCTTGTGATCATCAGCGCTTCTGCACTCAGCTGGGACTTGTACCTGTCTTGCCTCACTTGCTCACCTCTTGACCTTGCTTGTACTCATATATATATATATATATACTTGCTCTTGCTTGTTTAGCCTTATATATCTATGTGTACTCCTTCTTTTGAACTGGCCTTCTGGCCTTGACCTTGTGCTCGAATTGTGTGGTGACTTTGAGATCCACCCTGAGCTTTGCTTTGCTTTGCTTGACTGGTTTTGTGACCCCTTGTTCTCCCCCACTTTGCCTATGGGGGTGTGTCAACTTATAATATTGTGTAGGCTGTAGTGGGGTAGCCCATATGGGGTACACATTGCTAGGGTTGCATATTTGTATCACTTCCATTCATAGTTCATTCATTCTCGTTCTACTTTCCTCAATCCTCGCTACCACGATTCATTGCACCCGTAACACTTGGCTATAAATACTCCAGCCGCTTGGCGCTCAATGTTATGTGCGGTTTCTGACACCATCTCCACGATTGTTTTATACTGCAAACAGCATAGCTGGATTATGTTTTTTCTCTCTCTCTTGGTCTTGTACCCCTCTTGTCGTCTTTCTTTTCCTATATGTTGTACTTGCTTCTATTGTGACATTGTCTTCTCTTTTCTCACGATCCCCTCGCTTCTATCATTCCTACTCACAATTATGGCTCTTAAACCTACTACGTTCTAGCTCGTATTTTGGGATTTTTTTTCGCCACTATTACTTATGGTTATGGCTTATCCGGTAGCATTTGATCAACACATCATATCAAATTAGCTTACATTTGATACATCACACTTCAACTGTAGATGCTCGTCACAAAATGAAACACAGAGGCAGTGCCAAAGTCAATGTCCATAGCAACACGCCACACCATTCCGCTGGGTCTAAGAGGGGATACAGAGGGGCATGCCAGCAAAGAGGCTTTGGGAGCGGCACATCCAGCCGCGGTTGAGCTCGCCCACAAGCGACGGCTGGCGCTGGAACTGCACCACCACCAGCGACGAACAGCTGTCCCCCGCCCCCACCGTGTACCGCCGGTTCGCCACCGTCTTCGACCGCGCCTTACCGCACGCCACCGCTCCCAACAGTGTGCCGGCGACGCATATCTGGTGGGTTGGAGAGGGAGGAGGGAGGGAGGTCGGGAGGTCGGGAGGGAAGGAGGGAGGGAGGGAGGGAGGGAGGGAGGGAGGGAGGGAGGGAGGGAGGGAGGGAGGGAGGGAGGGAAGGAGGGAGGGAGGGAGGGAGGGAGGGAGGGAGGGAGGGAGCGAGGGAGAGAGGGAGGGAGGGAGGGAGGGAGGGAGGGAGGGAGGGAGGGAGGGAGGGAGGGAGGGAGGGAGGGAGGGAGGGAGGGAGAGAGGGAGCGAGGGAGGGAGGGAGGGAGGGAGGGAGGGAGGGAGGGAGGGAGGGAGGGAGGGAGGGAGGGAGGGAGGGAGGGAGGGAGGGAGGGAGGGAGGGAGGGAGGGAGGGAGGGAAAGATAGCGCAAGACTTGAGCGAGGTGCATCAGAAGGCGAATTTGCCTTTTGGTTCCAATGCCACTTCGCTAACACCACACTACTAAAGCCAACCCCCTAGGTGTTGTTGGTCTGACCTGTTGCCGAGTGGGTTAAAATGACATGTTTGTATTCTGGGTAGCACACCCATAAACCTCCCCGTACACACCTGTAGTCCTTCCGAACTGAACTGAAGAGCGACCCCAATGCCTCACCAACAGATTACCCTTAACTAGGGTAATTCCCCTCTTGTTTAGGGCTCGTTAGAGCACCGTGCTCACTCAACGCACACTGGGATTCGAACCCGAGACCTTTGACTCTGATAGAACACTCAGAGACACCCCCTTAGCGCCACCCCCCTCATAGGTACCTCAGAAGGGGCGAGAGAGGTGAGCGTGTCGCACTTGATGCTGGGGTTGAGGCGGTAGAGGTGGAGCCATGACACGCCCCACATGTTTTGAGTCGATTCAGAAGTGGAGCAAAGACACGCCTACTAGTTGAAACTAGTGGTTTTTCAGAAGTTGGAAGGAACCCGCTCGTTGAAACACAATTCCTCAAGCCGCCCTCCATCGTACCTCCCCCACTTAGCCCCACCCCCCTTAGGAATAGGTACCCCGGAGCCTGTGAGGGTGCCGAGGGAGTCACAGTTCCCCTAGCCCCACCCGCCTTTAGCGTAGCACCCCTCCAATTGACCCCATTCCCTTAGGCCAGCCCCCACCGCCATGTTGTTGGCAGCTCGGAGCCGGGATTGAGAAAAAAGAAGAACCTACATGTTGAAACTCATTCCGACTAACCACTCTCCATAGTGCCACCACCTTCGCTCATAGGTACCTCGGAGCCTGTGAGCGTGCTGAGAGAGTCACAGTTGATGCCGGGGTTGAGGCGGTAGAGGTCGAACCACGTCATGCCATAGTTTGCGACGGCGCTGGTACACGTGAACCACTGCGTGACCGGCTGGTACTCCGTGCACAGGTTGTAGTCCGCTGCTCCTGACACCGCGTCCCCCACTTGAATGCAGATCTGCGTATGGAGGAAAAAGAGAGGGAGGGGAGTGAGAAGAGGAGGAGAGGGAAGGGGAGACAGCGGCAGGTTCAGCACGGATTTGTGGTAAGGTAATCCGAGCAAAGGATGTGGTCTGCTGCTCATGGCACCGCGTCTCCCGCCGGAATTCAAATCTGAGATGGAAGGAGATGGAAGGAGATGGAAGGAGATGGAAGGAGATGGGAGGAGAGGATGAGAGAGGCCAGGCCAGATAGGAGGGGGAGAACACGTGAGCCAGTCGTTGACGTTGATGCCTGTGCTGTCGATGCAAACAATTTCCACTCTCCCATGCTACACCAGTGGAACCACTCTGCACCGCTCGCTCTCATCACCTGCTGGTTGGGCGTGAGGCTTGAGCAGTCAAGGCTGGGGTTGGGAGTTGATGCCCAAACTCCTATGCCTGCTCCCCCAATCCCTAAGCACCCCGATCCACCCCACTCCCTAAGCACCCCGATCCACCCCACTCCCTAAGCACCCCGATCCACCCCACTCCCTAAGCACCCCGATCCACCCCACTCCCTAAGCACCCCGCTCCACCCCACTCCCTAAGCACCCCGCTCCACCCCACTCCCTAAGCACCCCGCTCCACCCCACTCCCTAAGCACCCCACTCCCTAAGCACCCCGCTCCACCCCACTCCCTAAGCACCCCGCTCCACCCCACTCCCTAAGCACCCCGCTCCACCCCACTCCCTCCTGGTACACCAGCGCCCCACTTCACACTGCTCTCCCCGTGTGCTGCACCAATGGAACCACTCCGCACCACTCTGAACCAGTAGCCCCACTTCCCACCGCCCCCCCCACCTGCTGGTTGGGTGTGAGGCTTGAGCAGTCAAGGCTGGGGTTGATGGTCGTGACGTCGATGCCAAAGCGGGTGTTGATGGGATCACAGCTCCTTGCTGCGGCATCCGCCTGGGGGGAGCGGGGAGAGGGACGGACAGGGGAAGAGGTGGGGGAACCGATGGGATCACAGCTCCTTGTAGAGAGGGTGTTTTTGAGACGTCTCAAAAACAACGATGGGATCAGCAGCGGCTCCTTGCTTCTCCTTGCTGCTGCATTTGCCTGGGGGGAATGAGGATGGGACAGCAGTTAAGAGGGGAGATATATGAGCGTTGACGGGTGGTGTGTATGTCACTGGTCAACTGGGTGAATAGAGGAATAGAGGTCTTGATAGAGGAATGGAGGTCTTGATAGAGGAATGGAGGTCTTGATAGAGGAAAGCGAGTGACGAAGTATGCAGCTGGGCGACTTGTGACACACCTGGATGACATGTAACGCACCTGGGAGACATGTAACGCACCTGGGAGACATGTAACGCACCTGGGTGACAGTGTAGCGCACGCGGCACACTTGCGTTGTGGATGGGATGGAGATGTTGAGCACTTGACCCGCCTTGAGATTGTCGCAGTCCAGTCCCTGGTGGTGTGGGGTTGCAAATGGAAGTGTAGGAGAGAAAAGAGCAGGGAAAGAGATAGGGAAAGAGATAGGGAAAGAGCAGGGAAAGAGCAGGGAAAGAGCAGGGAAAGAGATAGGGAAAGAGCAGGGAAAGAGCAGGGAAAGAGCAGGGAAAGAGAAAGGGAAAGAGATAGGGAAAGAGATAAGGAAAGTCCACTAAGTGCTCTTGCCACGTGCTGTCAGGGATAAACAGGTGGGCTGCGGAGGTCTTATGTCCATTAACTTAAACTGTTTCTTAGGACGACGAAGCAAAATCCATGAAAATGAAAGAAAGAGCCTGGAGAGCTTGTGAGCTAGAACGTCTTAGAGAGCCTCGTTCTGCTGTAGGATTTTCTCTGCTCTTATCCCAGACCGCTGCACTTATCCCAGGCCTCTGCTTTCATCCCAGACCTGTGCTCTTATCCCAGACCTCTGCTCTTATCCCAGACCTCTGCTCTTATCCCAGACCTCTGCTCTTGATCCCAGACCGCTGCACTTATCCCAGGCCTCTGCTTTCATCCCAGACCTGTGCTCTTATCCCAGACCTCTGCTCTTATCCCAGACCTCTGCTCTTATCCCAGACCTCTGCTCTTGATCCCAGACCTCTGCTCTTGATCCCAGACCTCTGCTCTTGATCCCAGACCTCTGCTCTTGATCCCAGACATCTGCTCTTATCCCAGACCTCTGCTCTTATCCCAGACATGTGCTCTTATCCCAGACATGTGCTCTTATCCCAGACATGTGCTCTTATCCCAGACATGTGCTCTTATCCCAGACATGTGCTCTTATCCCAGACATGTGCTCTTATCCCAGACATGTGCTCTTATCCCAGACATGTGCTCTTATCCCAGACATGTGCTCTTATCCCAGACATGTGCTCTTATCCCAGACATGTGCTCTTATCCCAGACATGTGCTCTTATCCCAGACATGTGCTCTTATCCCAGACATGTGCTCTTATCCCAGACATGTGCTCTTATCCCAGACATGTGCTCTTATCCCAGACATGTGCTCTTATCTCGCACCTTGTTCTGCTGTAGGAACTGCTCTCATATATCTCACTGCCCACACCTCATTCTGCTGTAGGAACTGTTCCAATCACTCTTGCCACTCTCACTCCTATTACCTCATTCTGCTGTAGGAACTGCCCCAATCACTCTTGCCACTCTCACTCAACTCACATCGTTCTGCAGGAGGAACTGCTCCTATATCTCTAATCACTCTTACCTCATTCTGTGCGAGGAACTGCTCCTGGGTGAGGCCGATGAAGCCATAGATGGCGCCACAGGTCTCCCCGCCCTGCACTGTGTACGTGCCCTGCACCGCTGCTGCACTGCTCCCAGACATCTCTGTCATGGGATGTGTGGAATGGGGTGGTACGGGGGGGGCGATTGGGATGCCCAACAAAGAGGTTTGAAAAAGGTCACTTTTGCGCCTGGTTGGAGGCGAGCAGAGGAATGAGTTGGACATTCATTCATTCGGTCCCACCACCGCAACTCCATCCCTTCTCCTCCCATTCCCCCGAGCCTCACCAGGCACGCAGGTGGTCTGGCCGGAGGCGAGCACACTCGTCTTGTAATTGGGCGGGCAGAGGCACGAGTAGCCGCCGTCACCGCTGTTGATGCACTGCCCTACCACGCAGGGGTTGGTGGGTAGCACACTGCAGATCTCGACTGAGAGGGAGGGAGGGGGGAAGCAGTGAAGGATATGGGAAAATGAGATAAGGAGATGCTGGTTGCTGCTGTTGATGCACTGGCCGACGAGGCAGGGGTTGGTGGGTAGCACACTGAAGATTTGTGCAGACTGGAAAGGAAGGGTGTAAGGGAGAGGAGAAAGAGTGAGTGATGAACGAAGCACCCCCCCATGGGCAGAACGAAGCACCCCCCCATGGGCAGAACGAAGCACCCCCCCATGGGCAGAACGAAGCACCCCCCCATGGGCAGAACGAAGCACCCCCCCATGGGCAGAACGAAGCACCCCAAAAAACCTCAGGAGCCTAAGGGTTGAAATCGCCCATGCCACCACTCACCCACGTGGGTGTGCCGTCGCGGTTGACAGCGGGCACCAGGAGGGCCGTGCACTGACACATGTATTGAGTCGACTCAACAGTTATCTCCCATCCGACGAGGAACCACTCACTGATGGTGCAGGTGGGAGTGCCGTCGCGGTTGACAGCTGGCACCAGCAGGTCCGAGCACTGACACGTGTACTTGCCGTTGCCACTCTCGTCCGCCTCACACGTGCCCCCCCCACACGGTGACGTGCCACAGGGGTCTGTGGTCTGGTGGGCTGGCGAGGGGGTAGGGATGGGAGAGGGCATGACGGAGGGAGAAAGAGGAAAAAAGAAAGGGGGAAATGAGAGGGTAATAGGAGGGATTGGAATCCATTACACCATCGGAGAATAAGCAAGGAAGAATGAATGAATGAATGAAAGAAAGAAAGAAAGAAGGAAAGAAAGAAAGAAGAGAAAAATAAGGGGGAAAATTATATATATAATGGTCGTGTATATTATATATATACAAATATATTTAAGGAAGAAACAAGCGCAAGGGGGTACAAAGTGGAAAATGATGGATCCCTCACCATTCACAACGGGGTACAGCCCGCGGTTCACCAGCATGCCGCACGTGCCGAACGCGTCACCCTCCATGCGAATCTTCATGTAACCATTCTCCCCCCAATTTGGCCCCCAGCTGTTCTTCAGAATGAAATAATTCTGCGCGCTTCCCGGCACAACATAGTTGTACCCCACGGCCAGCATCACGTGGTCCAGCAGCCCCGTGTTGTTGGTGGCAGTGGCTGTCGCTCTGAAACCATTGCCCTGTCTGTCCCCAACGACCTCCCCCACGGGGCTGTAGCAGTTCCAGCCCTCATAAATGCCCTCCTGTGAGGGGCAGAGGGAGGGAGGGGCAAAGGGAGGGAGGGAGGGAGGGAGGGAGGGAGGGAGGGAGGGAGGGAGGGAGGGAGGGAGGGAGGGAGGGAGGGAGGGAGGGAGAGAGGGAGGGAGGGAGAGAGGACGGGAGGGAGGGAGGGAGGGAGGGAGGGAGGGAGGGAGGGAGGGAGGGTGGGAGGGAGAGAGGGAGAGAGGGAGGGAGGGAGAGAGGGAGGGAGGGAGGGAGGGAGGGAGGGAGGGAGAGAGGGAGGGCCATCAATAGAAAGGATCGTTTGGGAGGGAGGCAGGGAGGGTGGGTGGGTGTGTGCGTGGGAAGGAGGAAGTGTGGTTCAATCCCTCGCAGGCGGAGCTGGACAAGCCAAAAGAAAAGAAAAGAAAAATAAAAATCAATCAATCCCTTGAAGTCTCGCCAGCGGCGGTCGCGGTGGCGGTGGCGGCGGCGGTGGCGGCGGCGGCGGTGGCGGCGGCAGCATCAGCAGCAGCAGCAGCAGGAGCAGCAGCAGGAACAGCGGAGCCCCAAGTTACTCACGGAGTAGTCGATGAAGTCCTGAGCAGAAGTGCGGATGGTGAGGACGTTAATGTCAGAAATGGAGCTCGAACTAGGCCTACCAACAGAGTTGGGTTGGGTGAGGCTAAGGGAATAGATGGGATGGGAATCCAAGCAAATCTCCAATGATGAGTTGGCAGATTTGTTTGATAACGAAGGAATCCCAACCAGATAAGGTTGGGATAACAAAACTACACTCAACCTACAGATAACCTACACAATGTAAAATAGAGTACAAAAATGTGTTGACAACGTATTTCTAACAGTTAATGTGTGCAGGGAGAGTCTTTGACAGCAGCAACAGAGGCCCAACTCATCAGCAGCAGAGGCCCAACTCATCAGCAGCAGAGCCCCAAGTCACTCACCGCATAGTCAATAAAGTCCTGCGCAGAGGCGCGGATGGTGACGATGACGGGTTGCTTCTGCAGCGCGAGAATGAGCCCCAGCGGCCCCGGCAGTGGCACCTGCTCGTACATCGAGATGTTGTAAAAGTCCTGAGAGCGGTGGAGAGGGGTGGTAGGTGAGAGATAGCACACAGTAAGGAAGAGGGAGCGCATTGGCCAGCCACCATTCCCAACGGCCCTGGCAGTGGCACCTGCTCGTATGGTGGGTAGCAACACCCATGGCCCCTAAGACCGCACCTATAGCCCTCCCTCACTCATGTGGGGAGGATCTCCATGATCAATCTTCCCCTTGGGGCTCATTAGGGCACTATCGCTCATTACGGTACTCTAGGATTCGAACTGGGGATCTTTCTGGATTTGATACCACAATTGGCCCAACCTGCTACCGACTAGGTTAAATGGACATGTTTGTATGGTGGATAGCACACCCATTACCCAGGCCGCACCTGTAGCCCTCCCACTCTCAGCTGGGAATGATCCCAGTGTCCCACCAACAGAGGGAGGCTCTGACAAGCATTGGGCGCGTGGCATTGGTAGTGACCCCCTGTGGCACTTGCTGGTCTTCATCCTGCAACCCGTTCTTCGCAGTGTACTGCAGCGCAGATTTAGAGTACCGCTGTGCATTTCGGGCACTGAGGCGATTTTCGGGCACCGAGGCGATTTTCCGGCACCGAGGCGAATTTTGGGTAGCAGGGCATGCATATCGGGTCGACTCAAAACTCTCAGTGTAAGCATAGCCCACCTCATTCTGCAGCCCGCTCTTCACCCATCCTATCCCTTTCTCCAACTCACCGTATCCTTGTTAACGCTGCACTTGCCGCTGGCCCCCGTGTAGGAATATCCCGCCTCGTCCTGCAGCCCGATCTTAGCCGCGTACTGCAGGGCAGCCTCAGGGTACCCCCCCCGGCACGAGGCAGCAGCGCCAGTGCAGTCCACCAGCTGCTGCACGGACAGACTCATCCCGCCGGGGAACACATCATCGTCCGTCTCTTTGAGCTTCGCATACGCGCCCTGCACCGCCCGCGCTGCCGCGTACGCCCAGCAGGCTCCTGGGAGGGGTTTGATGGCATATGGGCCCAAGCCAATGAAGTCAATGGCCGCCCACAAGTCAACAGCACTACGACAGCAGTCAAAAGAGGTCAGCAGAAGTCAACGCGGGTCAACAGAGTCATTGCAGGTCAACAGAAGTCAACGTGGGTCAACAGAGTCATTGCAGGTCAACAGAAATCAAGGTGGGTCAACAGAACTCAATGGCAATCAACAGAAGACAGTGGCGATCAAGAAAAGTCAACGCAGGTCGGTAGAAGTCAACGATGTCATCGCCAGTCAACAGAAATCAACAGAAGTCAACGTGTGTCAACAGAAGTCAACGCGTGTCAACAGAAGTCAACGCAGGTCAACGGCAGCCAACAGCACGCACCACAGTTGCCCTGGTCGAAATCGTCTTCAGGAAAATATTTGCTGTGGCTCACGCTCTTCTTGAAATCCCACGTGATCTTCTGCGAGGTCGGGTCGAGCGTGAGACCGACGGTGAGGTAGCGCGAGACGGTGTTGAGATTGGGCAGCTTGGCGGGATTGAGGTCCTTGGTCGTGGGGGGGGACGTACCCCAGACTGCGGTCTGGCGGTGGGGGGTTGGGGGAGGCGCAGGGAGAAAGGGAATGGGGGAGGAGTTGAGACGGTGTTGAGATTGGGCAGCTTGGCGAGATCCTTGGTCGTGGGGGGGACGTAGCCCAGACTGCGGTCTGGCGGTGGGCAGAGGGGAGGCACAGCGAGAGAGGAGCGAGATAAGAGTGATTGGCGTAAGCACACGCAGCTTGGCGAGGTCCTTGGCGGTGAAGGGCGTGTAGCCTAGGCAGCGGTCTGACTGCGGGGGGAGAGGAGGGGCAGGGGAGGTGGGGGGGAAGCGGGATGAGGAAAGAGAGAGAAAGGGAGGCGAGTGAAAAATCACCTTCCCAAACCACCTTACCAGCAAGAAATCACGGTCACTGTCCCTGCCCGCACACCCTTGAGAACCGTTGAACCATGCCCTTTACCCCATTCCACCGCACTCCACCCATCGTTGCGCCCCCGCGCGACTCTCACCAACGGTTGTGGTGTTCCCGCGTCCGCCGTTCCCCTTGCTCGATCCGCGCCCCTTCCCTCCGCCTCCCGACGCCTGCTGAATCAGCTTCTGCACGCGCTGCTTCACCGTCGCGAGCCATTTGCGCGCTGCCGCGGCGAACGCGTCTTTAGTTAAGTACGAGGCGCGTTCGGGCGGCTTGCCGACGCCCGTCAGGTCCGCGGCGCCCATCAGCGGCGCGAGGGCTTTAATCAACGCACGCGTCTTCGCGTCCACCGCCAGCGCCGAGAGATCCGATGCCGCCACGCCAGCTGTCGCGTCGTCGGAGCTCGCGGTACCAGAGGTTGCGGTGTCAGAGCCCGCGTTTGTCGTTGCATCGAGTGTGTCTGTAACGAGGAGGGGGACGCGGTGCGGGGGAAGGGAAAGAAGAAAAAAGGGGTGGGGGGAAGGAAGTAGCCTGAGTGGCGGAGGAGGAGGTGGTATGAAACAAGCAGCATAGGGTAGACAACGTTCGGAAAGTTGCAGTTTACAGTCTGAGGCCTGGGCTAGGCGTGGGCTAGGCCTGGGTTAGGGCGTGGTGTGCGCGACCAATGAACGGCTCGGAGAGGAGATCGACTCGCAAACAACGACTCGGTGTGTGCTCGTGTAGGCACGATACTTCTCGGTACGTCTAGTAAGCATGATAGGCCGCTTATGAGTTGACTCAAAGTCACTTTGCTGCGTGCTCTTGTGGTACGCCTAAGCATGATAGGCCGCTTACCTATCCGCCGGCCAGCGGAGGCGGGGGCGACAGTGACGATCAGTAAGACTGCTATTAGTCGAAGCGCGTGGGCTGGAAACGCCGAGCCGCGACGATCCATCGTGTCACAAGCCGCACAACTTCGCCCCGCACGAGATGCGCGAGCCTGGCTTACTTGATGCCTGGGCTGCGCAGACACGTCAGCAATCCCCTGGCGCGGGAGCACAATGCGGATGGGGAAGGAATGCACCCGGCCCGCGGGTGAGTCGGGAACGTAATGGCGACGTGGACTCTCGAATCAAGACCTAGTATGTCTGGTTTACGCCAGTTGTACTGACACGTAGCCTCGTTGTGGCCTTGTGCGCAATTTACGCTTCTATGGCGTCTCGATTCCCGCGACGTGTGATGGCAATTGCCGAGAGGGAGCCGCGTAACCGAAGCCTACAAGTGGTGAGCAGCCGTGGAAAAAACTCGAGAAAAAAATGTACGCAATGAAGCAAACTCGATCGGTGTACAAAAATCAAGAAATCCGAACTGGTACCCTCGAGAAGATAAGAAACCTCGACTACATTCGTACGGGTTTGCCTGCGACTACGTTTCCCTGCCCAATACTGAATCGTACGAAACTCCTTGCCACTCTAGCCCAGCCGTGTTGTACTTTGTACTGTAGACTCCCCGGAGGTCAGAAAGTACATGCGGATAAGTGACAGCAGAGCAGTCTTCACATCGCGGTGCGGATAAGTAGTGCTCTGTGCTCCGTGTGGGGCCTGCAGAACAGGGGGAGTGACAGCAGCGAGCTTTGCGGTATGGCAGAATAGCAGCTCGGTTTGGGCTGGGCGTGTCCCGCGCACACACTTGACGTGGGGGACTCAGGTGAGAGAAATTTGACGAAAATAGCAGCCGCCGATGTTCGTTCTGCGAGCGATTAGCGTCAGGTGAAGCCGCAGTCATTGATTGAGGGCCCGGATGGGGAAAGCCTTTGGCTTGGTTTGAAGTTTGCATGAATCTACAATCAGTGCTTAGCGGGCAGGTTAAAACATTTTTTACGGAAGACTAAACACTTCATACTCATATTTCAGTAACTGAAAACGTATATCATGTGGTTTCGAACCAAGGAAGCGAGCAGTGAGCGGACAAGTGCGAACAAGTGCGTGAATAAACGAGATTTCTTAGCCATGTTCAGCAGGCAGGGGTCGAGGCAGCCGCGCCCGCCTCTGTCCTCCTCGTCTCCGTCCGCTTCCGCTTGCACTTAAAACTCAGTGGCGTTTCCCTTCTGACAATATTAATCATTGTCAGAGATAATTGTGGTTATTTCATGAACGATAATTTGGCTGTTTGGAGGTGGAAAAAATCGCCGCGCCGCTTCAACTAGAAATGTCTTCTCACCTGAAAGGTTGAGCGGCTCGGATCGACCACCTGTGAGGAGGAGTGTTGAGCAGCAAATCCGATTTCCGCACTTCCCGTACATTCGCCACCGCAATCTTCGGTGTGGACTTTTCAACCTGCGGTTTGGAGTGGGAGGCTTCCCCTGGTTCGTGAGCTTGTTTCATGACTCTTCCAGTTCCGTAGGCAATCGATCGATGCCACTTCGTCCATGAAATTGCGAGCATTATTCCGTAGTACAGTAGTACATGCTATAGTTCAGACGCATTCATAAAAAAAGTACAGTAGTACAGTGTGGCTTGAGTCGGATGGGCAGGGAAAAAAATGTTGCAGGCGAACCGAACTTGAATTGAACACGTCTCCCACAACTGACTCAGCGGAGGCTGCTGCTTCTCTTCTCTAACCATGGCTGGTTTGCCTTCCTATTCATCAGAAAAGCGTCTTGTGTAGTACTCTCTCCTGAATGTCTTCACTGCCCTGCCGCTCTCTCCCACCCCTCAAACCCTCGAGTTTCGGCCTAGTGTATGTGGCAATTGCCATCACAAGTTGCGCGGATCGAGCCGCCATAGTAGCGTGCCTCGCAACGACGCCACGTGTCAGTAAATGTGGCATAAGCGATATATACTGTTCGTCACGACGGCGGACGCCAGGTCCTAATTTGCGAGTCCACGTCGCCTCGACAATCCGACTCACCTGCGGGCCGCGCGCATTCCTTCCCCCGTCCGCATTGCGCTCTAGGTTTCCTCTAGGTTACGGCGCATTCCTTTCCCCGCCCGCGCTCCCCCAACCGCATAGAACGCATTCTTTTCCCCGTACACATTTTGCTCCAGCGCTCACTCAGTAGTGCTGACGTGTCTGCATAGCCCAGAAATCCAGTAAGCCAGGCTCGCACATCTCGTGCGACAGCGGCGCGGTACTTCTTTGGGGAGGTAGTGCGGCTTCTGACACGATGGATCGTCGCGGCTCGGCGCTTCCAGCCCACGCGCTTCGACTAATAGCAGTCTTACTGATCATCACTGTCGCCCCCGCCACCGCTGGCCGGCGGATAGGTAAGCGGCCGATCATGCTGACGTGGGGCTGACGTGGCGCGCTTGAATGAATGAAGGGTGTACCCAGGCCGCAGACCGTAAGGGCGTGTTACTCAGGGTCCGACTTTTGAGTCGACTCAAAACCCAGGCCGCAGACCGTAAGGGCGTGCTACTCAGGGTCCGACTTTTGAGTCGACTCAAAACCCAGGCCGCAGACCGTAAGGGCGTGTTACTCAGGGTCTGCGAAGCCCCTGGTCCGCCAAATCAGGGCTGGTCCGACGAATCAGGCCCAAACCAGGTCCCACACGAATCTCGCGGACTGGTCTGGCGAACCAAATCAGCCCCTGCAATTTTGCGTGGCAGACCAGCAGATTGGCTCGGGCCAGAGCGGACCAAACGGTGTTACCTGGTAACCCTATACTGTTCTTGCCTGGTCCTCGAGCTGGCTCACAGCTGGTCCACCCTGGTCCGCGGACTGGACCGCTTGGTCCGCAGTGGACCAGCGGCATCGCGGACCCTGAGTAACGCGCCCGATCACTGGTAAGCTGTGGGTAACCTGGGGGGGGAACGGGGGGGGGGGGGGGAGGTTTCGCCCAAACTTTTTTGGGATGCATGCCGCCTGCGTCTTACCACCTCCTCCTCCCCTCCTTCCTCCCTCCCCCGTTTTCTCCTTCCTTCCCCTCCCCGGAACCTCCCCCCACCCGCATCCCCCTACTCATCAAAGACGCACTCGGCACAACGACAAACGCTGACTCCGCCGGCTCCGCGACCACCGCCGGCGGCTCTGCGACCTCTGACGACGCGACAGCTGGCGCGGCGGCATCGGACCTCGTGGCGCTGGCGGTGGACGCGAAAACGAAGCAGGAGATAAAATCTCTCGCGCCGCTGTTGGGCGCCGCGGACCTGACGGGCGTCGACAAGCCCCCCGAACGCGCGTCGTACTTAACTAAAGACGCGTTCGCGGCGGCGGCGCGAAAGTGGGTCGCGCAGGTGAAGCGGCGCGTGCAGGCGGTGCAGAAGCTGATTCGGGCGGGGGGGGGAGGCGGAGGGAAGGGGCGCGGAATAAGCAAGGGGAACAGCGCACGCGGGAACGCCACTGCTGTTGGTGAGAGTCGCGCGGCGGCGTAACTAGGGCTGGAGTGCGGTGGAATGTGGTACAGGGCATGGGTTGCGCGGCGGGAATCGTGAGCGTGTCATTCCACCTACCGCCCGCTGTTAAGCTGCCTTGGGAAGGAAAGGGGGCGGAAGCTAGCGTGGGGGGTGGGGCGTTGCTGCTGCTGCCGTGGGTGCTCTGCCAATTTCCGGAGAATGTGCTCAGCTCATTCCTCCTTCTCACATGCTCCTCCTCCTCCCTCTCCCGGCTCCTTCTGCTCCCCTCCCTTCCCTCCCGTCTCTTTTCTCTCCTCCCTTTTCTCCCCCTTGCCCTCCCCTCCCTGCCACTCCCCTTCCCCCCCGTCAGAACGCAGCCTGGGCTACATCCCCCCCCCCCAGCAGGGATCTCGCCAAGCTGCCCAATCTCAACACCGTCTCGCGCTACCTCACCGTGGGTCGCACGCTCGACCCCGCCTCGCAGAAGCTCACGTGCAGCCTAAACCGCTGCTGCTATCGTGTGTGCTCACACAAACCCCGCTTCTCTCCTCTCCTTGCTCCCCTCCCCTTCCTGCCCCTGGCCCCCAACCCCCCCACCAGACAAAAGTCTCGGCTACACCCCCCCCACCACCAAGGACCTCAATCCCACCAAGCTGCCAAATCTCAACACCGTCTCGCGCTACCTCACCGTGGGTCTCACGCTCGACCAAACTTCCCAGAAGCTCACGTGGTCCTTCCCACCCAGCGCGGACCACCGCCCGCTGCTCTTGCCTGACGACAACTTCGACCAGGGCAACTGCGGTGCGTGACCCCGTTGACCCGCGTTGACTGCTGTTGACTGCTGTTCACCTTTGCTAGGACTGGTGTTGACCAGGTTGGCTGGAATCCCCTCCCAGCGCGGACACCGCCCGCTGCTCTTGCCTGACCACAACTTCGACCAGGGCAACTGTGTGGACTGCACTGGCTCGTCTGCGCTGCACCGCACTTCACCGCACTTGACCGAACTGCACCGCGCCAGCACTGCTGCTTCCATGACCCACAAGACACAGCATCCTCGCCTCCCTCCCCTCCGTTCCCCCTCGTCCCCCTCCCCCTCACAGGCTCCTGCTGGGCGTACGCGGTAGCAAGGGCGATTCAGGGCGCGTATGGTGCCGTGACAGACACGTACCCCGAGGGGCAGCCGCTGTCCGCTGGCTCTGCTGCCCTGCACCGCACTTCACCACGCTTTACTGCACTGCACCCTCGTTCCCCCTCGTCGCCCTTCCCCTCCAGGCTCCTGCTGGGCGTACGCTGTAGCTCGGGCGATTCAGGGCGCGTATGGTGCCGTGACAGACACGTACCCCGAGGGGCAGCCGCTGTCCGTGCAGCAGCTCGTGGACTGCACTGGCTCTGCTGCCTCCTGCCGGGGGGGTTACCCTGAGGCAGCGCTGCAGTACGCGGCGAAGAACGGGCTGCAGTATGAGCAAGACTACGCGTATACGGGAGCCACCGGCAAGTGCAGCGCGAACAAAACGATGGTGAGCTTCCTCCTGAGTCGAGTCACAAGGCACCTCTCTACCCTGAGTCACCTCGCTGACCTTGTGGTCAATTCTTGCCTGATGCTCTCTCTTTCTAACCCATGTGTCCTCCCTCCCCCTCCCCCCCCCCCCCCCCCCACTCTTACTCCCCCTCTGCTCGCAGAGCATGTGGAACTTTTCCATGTACGAGCAGGTGCCGCTGCCGGGGCCGCATGGTCAGTGCTTGTCTGAAGCTCGCTCTTCCTTACCCTCCTCTGCACCCCTCTCCACCGCTCGCAGAACTTATGGAGTTTTTCCATGTACGAGCAGGTGCCACTGCCGGGGCCGCTGGGGCTCATTCTCGCGCTGCAGAAGCAGCCCGTCATCGTCACCATCCGCGCCTCTGCGCAGGACTTTATTGACTACTCGGTGAGTTGACGCTGCTGCTGATGCTGATAGAATCACCCGTTAAAAGGTGAAGCAGCCCGTTATAGGGTGAAGCAGCCCGTCATCGTCACCATCCGAGCCTCCTCCCAAGACTTTATCGCACCATACGTGGTGAGTGCTCAGCTGCTGACAAAGACTCTGCATGCCCACATCAGCGTCAGCGTCGTCACCATCCGCGCCTCTGCCCAAGACTTTATCGACTACTGTCGTGAATCCTCCTCTGCAGACTCTCATTCTCACTCTCAACAAGTCTAAACTCCCTCGCAAGGGCTCAGTCAGATTGCTGTTAGCTTCTCCTACTGCTAGTTCCCTTCGGATTAGGAAAGCAAATTGCAGTAAACAAGAAACATACAAGCAAAAAGCAACGAGTCTGAGCGCTACCCCAGTCTACATCCCCTCCTGCCTAGTTGCCTTGTCCCGCAAGCTACCTCTACCCCTAAGCGCGAGTCAGCTGAGCTGATCGCGTAGGCTTCAAGGTGCTAGCTGGGTCCCACTGGGCCCACTAGGCATGCACCGCCTTCCAGCCTGGTGAATGGCGAATTGAATTCCCAGGCTGGCTGGAATCGAATTCGCCACCAACCTCCTCATCAACCTCCTCGAAATCCTCAGCAGCTCGACTCTGTATAGTACAGTAACATTCCAAAGCAAGCACACAAAGTAAAAATGCGAAAAGCAGTAAACTATAGTACACCCTCACCTTGGCTGCTGCGAAATTCACACTTAGTTGCCGGCTAAGTGTTAATAACGCGACAGCTGTCGTGAATCCTCCTCTGCAGACTCTCATTCTCACTCTCCCATGCGTATCCCGCTGATTCTCCCTTATCTCCTTCCTTCCCTACCACAGGTTCAGCCCTTCTTCCTCCTGGTGTAGGTAATCACCCTGTCCTGTAATCCTCCTGGTATCTCAGGCTTCCCTGCCCCCTCCCGTGTCTCAGCGCTCATCTTAGCCGCTCGAGCCACGGGACCCAATGCCTGAGGCTTCCCTTGTCCCGCCCTGGCCACGTTGGTGATGTGCTCCTTGATGGTTCCCCCTCGGATATCTTCCAGCACTAACACTCCCGAGCCTCGAATCTCTTTCACCTTCCACCGCTCTGAACCCACAGCTAAGTCCAGCGTGTCGCGCTTAGCTTTGCGGAGGTACACCTCCTGTCCTGCCTCCACCTTGTCTTCCCTTCCTCCCACCCCTGATGCTTTACGCTGCTGGTATCGTCTAGCATCACGCAACTGCGCCACGTGGAGATTATCCAGGGCTGCCGGAGTCAGCTCCTTCAAATACTTCGCCCTCTTATATGCTAACTCCGCCCACAGGTTCGGCTCATCCGCCTCTATAACCGCAGAGAGCAGCTTCGGTGCGTCGACCGGCAGCACAGGGTCCCGTCCGAACAGCAGGTGGTATGGGGATAGGTTCTTCAGTGCCGCCTGCTTTGCGAACCTGTACCCAGCCAGTACCCACCATAGATCTCGGTCCCAGCTCCTTTTGTGGGTCTCACTGTAGGCCCGAAGTCCTTTCTTCAAGGTCTGTATGAGCCTCTCGGTCAGTCCGTCTGATTGCGGGTGGTACCTAGAGGTGACCCTGTGCGTGATACCCATCTCCTCTAACAGCTCATCAAAGCTCCCTTGGAACTCAGTCCCTTGATCAGTGAGTACCTCTCCGCATGCCCCATACCTGGTAAGCACCAGCTCCTCAAATGCGTCTGCTATCAGTGCGCTGTTCTTGCTTGGTAATGCACGCACCTCCACCCATTTGCTCGTGTGCTCAACCATCACCAGAATGTACTGCTTCCCCCCTTTCGACAGCGGTAGCTCCCCCGCGAGGTCCAGCGACCACCTGTAGCCCAACCCGTGAATTGGTAACGAATGCAGCTCATCCCTCTCTTTCTCCAGCCTTGCTTTATTCCTCTGACAAGCCTCGCAGCTCGCCACTAATCCTGCTACATCCTTTCCCATGCTCGCCCACCAGTACATGGTGCTCAGCAGCTGCCGCGTCCTGGTTATGCCATAGTGCCCCAGCTTCGCGTGCACGTTCCCCATAATCCTGGCCCTCTCCTGTGGCTGCGGCACTACCTTCCACCCTTCGTTAGTTCTCAGCTGCAGCTGTTCCTGAAACCACCTGAAATGCTGTCCTCGGGCCCTGGCTCTCTCGCTCACTCCTCCCTCTTCGAGTGGCTCCCCTTTGATCCAGCTCATGGTCTCCTCATCTTCCCATATATCCCCTAACCGCTTCTTTCCCTTCTCCTGCCCCCAGGTTACTGCCGCTACCTGAGCCATGGCTGCCAGTTGTGCTACCGGCTGCAAAGGAGGCGGGTTCCTTGATAACCCATCGGCGTGCTGCAGAGTTTTCCCAGGTCGGTGTCGGATCTCAAAATCGAATCCCAGCAGCTTAATGGCCCAGCGTGCGTTTCTCCCAGTCAGCTCCTGATGAGTCATCAACCATAGCAACGGCTGATGATCAGTCACAAGTGTGAAATGCCGACCCTGCAGGTACACCTTGAAGTGAGTGATCCCCCATACAGCTGTCAGGCCCTCCCCTTCGTAAGAGCAGTAGTTAGCCTCGGATGGGCTGCAGCTGCGGCTGGCGAAGGCTACCACTCTCTCCTCTCCCTCTATCTCTTGGCAGAGCACTGCCCCCATTCCTGTGCTGCTCCAGTCGGTGTATAAGATGAAAGGGGCATCTGCCCTCGGTATCTGCAGCAGTGTTCCAGTCCGTACTGCTTCCAGCAGGTCCTGCCTTGCCGTTTCCTCCAGCTCTCCCCACTGCCAGCTCCTCCCTTCCTTTAGCAGCTGATTCAGTACGTAGGCGCGGCGGCTGAAGTTCGGAACGAACTTCCTGTAATAATTCAGGAAGCCGAGTAGCGCCCGCAGCCCGGTCTTGTCCTTGGGTGCTGCTAAGTTCTCCAGCACCTTCACCTTTGCTTCCTGTATTGCCAGCCGGCCCCCCTTCACTTCGAAGCCCAGGTAAGCCACGGTCTGCCTTGCTACCTTGCACTTGTCTGGATGGCACGTTAGGCCTGCAGATGCTATTGCCTCTAGCGTCCGCTTCAGATCTTGCACGTGCTGCTCTTCGCTGCTGCTGAATATCAGTATATCATCTATGTAGCATGCTGCTGCCGGAATCCCCTTCAGCACCTGATCCATGGCTCGCTGAAACACTGCAGGGGCGTTGCGAATCCCGAAAGGCATCACATTGTACTCATACAGCCCATCCACCCCGTGGAACGCCGTCTTCCGTTTGTCTTCCTCCCTAATGGCTATTTGGTTGAACCCTTGCCGCAGGTCCAAGGTGGTGAAGATGATGGCGCCCTCTAAACGGTCGAAGATGTCTTCAGCAGTTGGCATTGGATACCTATCTGGACTAGTGATCTTGTTCAGCTCCCTGAAGTCCCCGCACATCCTCTTCGCCAGTACCTTCCCCGTGATATCTTTCCTAGCGGCTACCACTGTGGCTGCGGCGTAGCTTGACTCTGACGGGCGGATAATCCCTGCGGCCAGCAGCTCTTCGCACTTCTCCTTACATATGGCTGCATCCTCTGCATTCATCCTCCTCCTGCGTTGATATGTGGGCAGCTCCGTGGTGAGGTTTAGCTCCAGCTCTCTCCCCTTATACCTCCCCAGCTCTGACAAGTTGTACGCGAAAGTGTTCCTGTGTTGCCGTAGTACCTCCTGAATTGCAGCTGCGACTTGCTCCCCTATGCCAGCTCCTAATTCCCAGTCTTTGCTTGGCTCTGCTTCCTTGCCCCCTGTGGTCCTGGGGTCAGCCTCCATCCCTGCCGTGGTCTTACTGAGAGCTACGTATGATGCTTGCTGGATGCATTGTCCCTGTTCTGTCCCTGCCTTTCCTCTCCTGCTAGTCGGACCCTTTCTCATCTCCCTTACTAACCACCTCAATGTGTGCTGGTCTATGGCTCTGCCTAGAGCCGCTCTGCGTGCTGCTTCTCCCATTCCCTCCGCAGCTGTTGCCCCCGGCAGATAACCCATGGCTAATTCTCGTTCTAAGGCCGTCGGCTCTTCCCACTTCTTCTTTCGGTAGTCGTACACCATCCCTGGACCGGGTTGCCCATCCACCTCCACGAACCCCTGAGCCTGAGGGTAGGCTACCAACGTCGGCCAAGCTCTCCGTGCCTCTCCCACTCGGTTACACTGGTACTGCCGCGGATGATCTGGCTTCACCACTGGTGCGGCGACTCTGCCCGGTTCCAGAATGTCTTCCACTATCCGAGTCCCATCCCTCTCCACCCTTGCTAGTCTTGCCCTCAGTTCTCCCTCTGGCAGGACATTCTGCCAAAATTGTCGCACTCGGTGGCCCCATGCCCCCAGCTGTGCGCCATCACAACTCACCCCCCTACCCAGTTCTGCCTCCACTAGCTCTCGTACTGCTCGGACTGGCTCCCGTGCATCTCCTCTCATATCCACATGCTCCAGTATGTAAGCATATTCTCCTCCCGCTTCTCTCGCCCACCTCATGATTGACAGAAGAGCGGATACCATGGCTGTACGTTCATCCTGCAAGCCCTTCCCCTTTCCTGCTCTGGAAGTGCCCTGGCATTCCCATCCGGCCACGAGTAAATCCACCTTCCCCCAGCTTCTCACATCTTCCTTGGTAAGCTGCCCCACGTCCCACTTTTTGTTCTGCATGGCTTCCCGTAGCACTCCCTTTGTCAGCTGCACTGGGTACTGCTGTTGTAGCATCAGAGCATGGTTCCACGCCATCTTCCTTACTTCCGGGTCTAACTCCACATATACCCACTTTTTCACTTTCAGTCCAGCTTCTAGTGCTGCTGCCAAGCCTGCTCCCAGCCCCCCGAACAGCTCCACCAAGGTAATACTGTACTGATCTAAGCTAGCGGTAACATTCTCCTTTTCTGAACTCCCTCCTCGCAAGCTCTCCTTCCTCCCTCCTTCTGCCCTCCAGGCTTTCTTCGGTTCTGTCTTAACGAATCGTACCGGCAACTCACTCAACTCCTTCCCTTCTTCCCGGAAGTCTGGGCGGTAGAGCACCTGTTCTTCCCAAGTACAAATCATGGTACCTATCTTAAACAGCAGCTCCATTCCAAGTAAGATGTCGTAGTCTTCTGATTCGGTCAGCCCACATTGCACTCTAATCTTCGTCTCTCCTTTCTCCCCGGGCCGTAGAGTGATCTCGATCGGTTCTCGCGTGCAGGGCATCCATTTGGGGGCCCCGCCGTCGGCTGTCATGATCAGTATGCCTTTGCTCACGATCTCCAACTCTCCCTGGGCCCGCAGCTGCTCTGTCAGCTTCTTTCCGATCAGCACGCTTTGTGCCCCCGTATCCACTACTGCGTTTTCCACCAGTATTCCCCGTACGGCTACCGCTTTGGGTTCCACTACTAAGGCTGTAGGCTGGCAAACGAGCCGTTCTTCAGGATGACGACGCGCTGTCCTTGAGCTTCCACTCCCTTCCGGCTGCCTGCTAATTCTCTTCTCCTGTTGTTTCTGCTCTGCCCTGCCGTCCACTCCTTTACTGCGCAGTCCCAGATCCCCTCTTTCCCTTGGTGGTATAGCCATCGTCCCATACTCAGGCTCTCCCTCATCCGACCCCTCTCCTTCATCATCCTCCCAAGCCAGCAGCGCCTTCTCCGAATCTTCGCTAATCTCTGCCTTCTCCATTTGAGCTTTCAGTTTAGCCAGCTCTCGTTCCAGCTGTAACTCCCTTGCTGATTTCCCTTTCGTCCGCTCTCCTTTACTGTAACATCTAGCTTCCGTATGTCCCCTCTTCCCGCAGCCGGTACATATTGGCGCCTTGGGGCAATCTCTTCTGAAATGCCCCTTTGCTCCGCAGGTGTCGCATGTTATCCCCACAGCACAATCCCTACGCAGGTGCCCCTGCTCTCCACATTTATGACAGCGCCTTGTATCTTCTGTCGGCCTGTCTCTTCGCTCCTCCTCTCCCCTTCTGCCCTCCACAGCTGCCCAAGCTGGCCTTCTTCGCTCGTTCGGCCGACTGGAACTCGACCCCTGCATGCCATCATAAAACCGCTTCCCTTCTTCCACTTCTTTCGCCACCTGGTATACCTGCCGCAGCGTGGCTCGTACTCCCAGGGAGTAGAGCCGGCTCCTCATGTCACTTATCAAGTCTTTATCCAGCCCGTTGACAAACTTAGTCACCAAGATACGTTCTTCCATGCAGCCCATGTCCTCCGCCAGCTCCAGCAGCCTGTTGTAATAGGCCAGCAGCGACTCTGGAGTGGCTCGAATGAAGTTCTGAAATTCTGCCATCCTGTCTGCCGAATGCCCCGGGAATTGTTCTTGCAGACTTTCCAAAAACCGGTCCGTGATCATCGCAGCTGGGAAGTCCCCTCTCTTATTCTGCATCAGCAGCCCCTGTCTCTCCACACGGTAATGCGTCAGCGCTTCTCCCTTAAGAGTCCTCCCCAAACCTCTGAAAAATTCGATGGGATCCAGCCCTTCCCTATCCCAGCAGTAGCGGATGTCGTCTATCATCATGAGGTAGTTCTTTAGCGTAGGCTCTTCTCCTGGCGTCCCCGAGAAGCGATCTGGCACCTCGATTTTCGGTGGTGCAGCGTTCATCGATCTGCCAGTTCCCCAGCTTGTCGCCCCCCTTTCTCCACTCCCAGCAGGCCGGCCTCCTCTTCCAGCCTCCATGGCTTCGTACACACCCGCTGAGAATCCATGATACTGTTCTCCTCCTCTCTGACTTCGCCGCTCTTCTTGCTGGTCGTCTCCTTCTCGCAAGCTTCGTCGTTCTTCATGGTGATCGTCTCCTCCTTTCTGACTTCGCCGTTCTTCGTAATTATCTTCCCCTCCCAGATCAGGAGGTCCTCGTCTAGGTCCAGTCCCCACAGGGCGAATTCCGCTTCCTCCTGCCGGTGAATCACAAGCTGAGCTGAGCGGTGGTTCTCTCCGTCCACTCCCTTCCTTCTCCCGATCTGATCCTTGATTACCACGTACGTTGTTATCTCCCTCTCCCGCGCGAAATCCAGGCGTCCTAATTGGCGGATCACGCCCCTCCATCATCCTCGCAGGGAATCGGTGACCCGAGCGCAGTTGATGAGTATGAAGCTCCTGATCGAATTCACTCATGCCTCACGGCGCCTCACCATGCTCTACTCCAGGCGGTCAAGCCTGTCCCCTGTACTCTAGACAGTCGTAAGCAGCCTTTTTGCTTGTATGCAACAAGTCTAAACTCCCTCGCAAGGGCTCAGTCAGATTGCTGTTAGCTTCTCCTACTGCTAGTTCCCTTCGGATTAGGAAAGCAAATTGCAGTAAACAAGAAACATACAAGCAAAAAGCAACGAGTCTGAGCGCTACCCCAGTCTACATCCCCTCCTGCCTAGTTGCCTTGTCCCGCAAGCTACCTCTACCCCTAAGCGCGAGTCAGCTGAGCTGATCGCGTAGGCTTCAAGGTGCTAGCTGGGTCCCACTGGGCCCACTAGGCATGCACCGCCTTCCAGCCTGGTGAATGGCGAATTGAATTCCCAGGCTGGCTGGAATCGAATTCGCCACCAACCTCCTCATCAACCTCCTCGAAATCCTCAGCAGCTCGACTCTGTATAGTACAGTAACATTCCAAAGCAAGCACACAAAGTAAAAATGCGAAAAGCAGTAAACTATAGTACACCCTCACCTTGGCTGCTGCGAAATTCACACTTAGTTGCCGGCTAAGTGTTAATAACGCGACACTACGCGGTGGGTTTGGGAGGTTCCGCTGCTGCTGCTGCTGCTATATGCCCCAGCCCTGGTATTTGCCTCCCTACCACCCTCCCTCCCACCCTCCCTCCCTCCCGCCCTCTCACCCGTCACAGGGCGGCATATACCAGGGCTGGGGCTGCTATAATCTCGTGCTATAATCTCACTCACTGTAAGAATGTCCCAAGATCTTCCCTCCCTCCCTCCCTCCCTCCCTCCCTCCCTCCCTCCCTCCCTCCCTCCCTCCCTCCCTCCCTCCCTCCCTCCCTCCCTCCCTCCCTCCCTCCCTCCCTCCCGCCCTCCCATCACAGGGCGGCATATACCAGGGCTGGGGCTGCTACAACCCGCTGGGAACTGTCTTGGATGGCTGGAACCTTCCTTGTCTCTCCTGACACACCCACCCACCCTCCCACCCACTCTCCGACCCTCTCACCCTCACAGGGCGGTATAGACCAGGGCTGGGGCTGCTACAACCCTGTGGGAACCGTCTCGGGTAGCGGGGGCGGACGGGCCATGGCGACCGCTACAGCCACCAACAACACGGGGCTGCTGGACCACGTGATGCTGGCCGTGGGGTGTCTCTATGGGGAACAACACGGCTCCTCTTTCCTCCCCTCTTCCCTCCCTACCCTCTTCCTTCCCGTCTTCCCTCCCCTCTTTCCTCCCCTCACAGGAAGGCATATACGAGGGGTGGGGCTGCTACAACCCGCTGGGAACTGTCGCAGATAGCGAGGGCAGTCTGGGACGGACCACGGCCACGGCCACCAACAACACAGGCCTTCTAGACCACGTGATGCTGGCCGTGGGGTATAACTATGACTCCCCGGGGAGCTGGAACAACTACTTCATTTTGAAAAACAGCTGGGGGCCGCAGTGGGGCGAGGGCGGGTACATGCGGATTCGCATGGAGAATGGGCCGTTTGGCACGTGCGGCATGCTGGTCAATCGCGGGCTCTACCCCGTTGTGAGAGGTGAGAGGTTAACCAGTGGAACAGGTGAGCGAGGGCTCTACCCTGTTGTGGCAGGTGAGGGGTTTCACTCTCCGCCCCTTACCACTGGCATGCAGGTGAACTGAAGGTGATGCAGTGTAAGTGCACTAGAAGAATCCCCAACAACCCGAAGTGCCACACTAGCAATGTTAAAACATACCACCTCGGCAGGCCCCAGCGATGTAGAGTATTTCTGAGAATTCTCAAAAATACTCCACATCTCCACACTAGCAATGTTAAAATACTCCACATCTCCACACTAGCAATGTTAAAATACTCCACATCTCCACACTAGCAATGTTAAAATACTCCACATCTCCACACTAGCAATGTTAAAATACTCTACATCTCCACACTAGCAATGTTAAAGCAGACCACCTGGGCAGCCCCCAGAGCATGTTTTTTGAGAATTCTCAAAAAACACGATCCCGACAACACGCCGCTCCGTAGGGGGCTGAACTGAACTTGCTTGATTGGCAAGAAACGTCACCCTTCTTGAAAAGTCCTGTGTTCCTTCCTTTCCTCCCTCCCTACCCAATCTACCATGCAGTCAAGAGCACCAATCCCTGCAACGCATCACCCTGTAAGGGCGTGTGGTCGACAAGAATCGTCACGCTGTTCCTCCCTGTACCTCCCTGTTCCTCCCTGTACCTCCCTGTTCCTCCCTGTTCCTCCCTGTTCCTCCCTGTACCTCCCTGTTCCTCCCTGTTCCTCCCTGTACCTCCCTCTTCCTCCCTCTTCCTCCCTGTACCTCCCTGTACCTCCCTGTACCTCCCTGTACCTCCCTGTACCTCCCTGTACCTCCCTGTTCCTCCCTCTCCCCTTCCCCTTTCTCCCTCCTTCCGTCGCCTCTTCCCGCCCAAACCACCTCGCAGCCCAGAGCACCAATCCCTGCAGCGCATCACCGTGCGGGGGCGGTAGGTGTATGGTCAACGAGAGAGACACAACTAAGTATATGTGCGAGTGCCTGCCGCCCCCACTCTCCTTACTGTCTGCCTCGTTCCTCCCGTCGCCTCTCCCCGCCCGAACCACCTCGCAGCCCAGAGCACCAATCCCTGCAGCGCATCACCGTGTGGGGGCGGCAGGTGTATGGTCAACGAGAGGGACACCACCAAGTACACATGCGAGTGCCCCGCCCCGCTCGTGGCTGCTGCCAACCGTGACGGCACCGCTACGTGCACCGTCAGTGAGTTGCGGGTTGGGTGGTCTCACTCACCCCCTTTGGGCTCTTGGGGTATTGTGGGGACGAGAGGGACACCACCAAGTACACGTGCGAGTGCTGACTTTTGAGTCGACTCAAAAGTCAGCTCAGTATTGTGGGGACGAGAGGGACACCACCAAGTACACGTGTGAGTGCTGACTTTTGAGTCGACTCAAAAGTCAGCTCAGTATTGTGGGGACGAGAGGGACACCACCAAGTACACGTGTGAGTGCTGACTTTTGAGTCGACTCAAAAGTCAGCTCAGTATTGTGGGGACGAGAGGGACACCACCAAGTACACGTGTGAGTGCTGACTTTTGAGTCGACTCAAAAGTCAGCTCAGTATTGTGGGGACGAGAGGGACACCACCAAGTACACGTGCGAGTGCTCCGCCCCACGCGACGGCACCGCCACGTGCACCGTCAGTGAGTTGCCCCTTTGAAGGTGCTTTGGCCCTTTGGCTCTGATTCAATCGTGGCTGCTGCCAACCGTGACGGCACCACCAATGAGTTGCACCGCATGAGATGCTTTGGCTCGTGGGGTGAGTTGGCGCCTGGGGTCAATTTGCTCCTCATATCATTGCGTTGGAGATGAGAAGGGACATGTGAAGTGACAGTGGGATGCTATTGCCCCATACACGCAACCACTCATCCCCCCATCTCGTTTGATGTTAACACCCCCCCACACAGTCGACGTGTGCAGCGTGCTACCCACCAACCCCTGCGTCGTGGGGCAGTGCATCAACAGCGGCGACGGCGGCTACTCGTGCCTCTGCCCGCCCAACTATAAAACTAGCGTGCTCGCCTCTGGCCAGACCACTTGTGTGCCTGGTGAGGCTGGGGGGAAGGAGGGCTTTCAAAAAAGGGCCGTGATTCAGCAATGAGGGAGGGTAGGGGCAAATAAAGAAGACACAGAATACGTTTTTTTTTTTGTTTGTTTTTTTTTTTTTTTTTTTTTTCCCTACTTTTCTTTTCCTTTTTCCTCTAAATTTTAGCTGTCTTACATTTACTTTTTTTACTGATTCAAAATTTTGCTTGAATGCACTCACCACCATGTATGACATGGCATGGCAGAGATGTCACCGAGCACGGCAGCAGCGGTGCAGGGCACGTACACAGTGCAAGGGGTGGAGACGTGTGGTGCCATCTACGGCTTCATCGGCCTCACCCAGGAGCAGTTCCTTGCACAGAATGAGGTGCGAGTGATGAGGAGTGATGAGGAGTGATGAGAGCGATGAGGAGTGATAAGAGCACTTCCTGCAGCAGAACGATGTGAGAGCAATGCAGAGTGATCAGAGGGATAAGAGTGAGCACACTGACAAGAGCAATTCCTGCTGCAGAATGAGGTGAGCGCAATGAGCCCCATCAATTCAACTTTTGAGGCGCCTCAAAAGGTGAGCGCAATGAGCCCCATCAATTCACCATCTCAACTCCTGCTCCTCAACATCCCTATGCCCTACTGTCCAACGTTGAAACCATCACCCCAATATCCACCAGGGAGGGAGTGGACTGTGACAATCTCAAGGCTGGTCAGGTGCTCAACATCTCAATCAACAACCCCATCCCTTGCGTCACAGCTTTCCTTTCTCATCATCACCCGTCTTCACACCCACCCCCCCTTCATCCCCCAGGGAGTGGACTGCAACAATCTCAAGGCGGGTCAGGTGCTCAACATCTCCATCCCCTCCTCGGCTCAAGTGTGCCGCGTGCGCTACACTGTCACCCAGGTGCGTTACATGTCACCCAGGTGCGTTACATGTCACCCAGGTGCGTTACATGTCACCCAGGTGCGTTACATGTCACCCAGGTGCGTTACATGTGTGCTACTATGTCATCCAGGTGCGTTACACGTGTGCTACCATGTCATCCAGGTGCGTTACATGTGTGCTACTATGTCATCCAGGTGCGTTACATGTGTGCTACCATGTCATCCAGGTGCGTTACATGTGTGCTACTATGTCATCCAGGTGCGTTGCATATTGCCTAGTTGCGCGAACATGTCCCGCAGGTGCATTACAAGTCGTCCACATCCGTTACATGTCACGCAGCTACACTGTCACTCTCCCCCTCCCACCCACTCTCTTCACCCTACCGCCCCTCTAACCCCATCCACCCCCTCCTCTATCTGCACGCACGCAGCCATCAACGCCCACTTTTGAGTCGACTCAAAAGTCGCTCTCCCCTCTACCCACTCTCTGCCCCTTCTAACCCCGTCCAATCCCTCCTCTATCTGCGCGCATGCAGCCATCAACCCTTACTTCACTCTTTCCCTCCTCCCCCTCCCTGCTTAACCCCTTCCGCATTCACCCCAGGCGGACGCAGCAGCAAGGAGCTGTGACCTCATCAATAATCGCTTTGGCATAGACGTCGCGACCATCAACCCCAGCCTCGATTGCTCAAGCCTCGTGCCCAACCAGCAGGTGAGGCAAGCGGTGCATAGTGGTTCTAATGGTGTTGCAGGTGGAGAGAGTGGTGGGGAGTGATTCGGCTCGTAAGTGGGGTGGCGGCGTAGCTTAGATTGCATTGGCATTGACCACAGCCTTGACAGCCGTATCAGGAGCAGCGACTACAACCTGTGCACGAGCTATGTGGCCACCAGCAAGTGAACTACCTTCTCCCCTCTCCTCTCTTGCTTCCCAACCCTTCCTCTCCTCCCCTCCCTCTCCCATTGCAGATCTGCATTCAGGTGGGGGACACGGTGTCAGGAGCAGCGACTACAACCTGTGCACGAGCTATGTGGCCACCAGCAAGTGAACTACCTTCTCCCCTCTCCTCTCTTGCTTCCCAACCCTTCCTCTCCTCCCCTCCCTCTCCCATTGCAGATCTGCATTCAGGTGGGGGACACGGTGTCAGGAGCAGCGACTACAACCTGTGCACGAGCTATGTGGCCACCAGCAAGTGAACTACCTTCTCCCCTCTCCTCTCTTGCTTCCCAACCCTTCCTCTCCTCCCCTCCCTCTCCCATTGCAGATCTGCATTCAGGTGGGGGACACGGTGTCAGGAGCAGCGACTACAACCTGTGCACGAGCTATGTGGCCACCAGCAAGTGAACTACCTTCTCCCCTCTCCTCTCTTGCTTCCCAACCCTTCCTCTCCTCCCCTCCCTCTCCCATTGCAGATCTGCATTCAGGTGGGGGACACGGTGTCAGGAGCAGCGACTACAACCTGTGCACGAGCTATGTGGCCACCAGTAAGTGAACTACCTTCTCCCCTCTCCTCTCTTGCTTCCCAACCCTTCCTCTCCTCCCCTCTCTCTCCCACCGCAGATCTGCATCCAGGTGGGCGATGCGGTGTCGGGAGCAGCGGACTACAACCTGTGCACGAGCTACCTGCCGGTCAACGAGTGGGTCACGTGTGCCAACGCTGTGGATTGGTACGGCCTCTCCTGGCTCGACCTCTACCGCTTCAACCCCGGCATCAACTGCGACACGCTCACAGCACTCACCGCCTCCGAGGTACCTATGCGGGGAGTTGGCGCTAGATAGGAGGGGTAGCGCTGTGAGGGGTGTGATTCAATTGGTACGGCCTCTCCTGGCTCGGCCTCTCCTGGCTCGGCCTCTCCTGGCTCGGCCTCTACCGCCTCAACCCCAGCATCAACTGCCACACGTTCACAGCACTCACCGCCTCCGTGTTGGCTCAGCCTGCTACCGTCTGGGTTAAAAGGGCTTGTTTGTTTGGTGGGTAGCACAACCATAAACCCCCTAGCACACATATGGAGCCCTTACGAACTCAACTAAAGAACGATCTTAGTGCCTCACCATCAATCTCCCTTCTACTGGGGTCATTCTCCTCTCATTTACGGCTCGTTAGGGCACTGTGCTCATATGGCGCACACTGGGATCGAGCCCAAGACCTTTGGCTCTGATACCAATGTTAGTACAGCCTGCTACCGACTAGGTTAAAAGGGCATGTTTGTATGATGGGTGACACACTCATAACCCCCCAGGCCGCGCCTGTAGCCCTCCCTCACTCAACCGGGGACAATCTCAGTGCCCCACCAACATTACGAGGGACCAACATGATGGGGAGGTGATGCTAGGGGGGGCGTGGCACTTGGAGTGCGAATAGAGGGGGTATGGGGGGGTATGGGGGGTTATGGGGCATGTCGTGGTTCGACCTCTATTGCCTCAACCTTGGCATGAACTGCGGCACCCTCGGCTCGCTCACCGCCTCCAAGGTACCTATGAGGGGTAACGCTATGGAGGTTTGTGCTGGAAATCAACTAGTGCCTACGCCATATGCAAAGCTTGCCTTTTGAGTCATGTCACAAATTGCTTAAATCTCTCATTCTTGCTCACTCCTCCCTCCCCTCCTCCCCCGCCCATCCCCACACCCCAGATCTGCATCGCCGGCACGCCGTTGGGAGCGGTGGCGTGCGGTAAGGCGCGGTCGAAGACGGTGGCGAACCGGCGGTACACGGTGGGGGCGGGGGACAGCTGTGCGTCGCTGGTGGTGGTGCAGTTCCAGCGCCAGCCGCCGCTTGTGGGCCAGCTCAACCGCGGCTGGATGTGCCGCTCCCAGAGCCTCTTCGCCGGCATGCCCCTCTGCATCCCCTCTTAGCATCAACGGCATCACTGTGTGGCACGGCATGCCCCTCTGCATCCCTTCTTAGAGCACTCACAGCCTCTCCGCCGGCATGCCCCTCTGCATTCCCTCTTACCACCAGTGGCGTGGCATGGCGTACCATGTCCTGCCGCATCCCTTCTTAAAGCCAATGGTATAACATCCCCTCTTCGGACTCCCAGAGCCTCTTCGCCGGCATGCCTCTCTGCATTCCCTCCTAGAGCGCTCACAGCCTCTTCAGCATGCCCCTCTGCATTCCCTCGTAGAACCAGCCGGGTGGCATGGCATGGCATGGCGCATGGCGTGGCGTGAGGTGGCGTGATGTCGAGTTATGCACACGGAACTTGACTTAGGTACGAGTGAGGCAGCTCTACATACATCCCCTTTGAATCTTATTGACCAAGGAATGACATGACCACATTTCCTGTTGTATATTACATAAAGATGATCTGCTATAGATTGTATACATATATTACAATACATGCAATTGTTGTACGCCTTTGACAAAAATGTTACAGAATGGTGGAATCGCCCATGGCGAGGATGAACTGATGCGGGAGAGTTTGATGAAGCCTGTGTTGGCGAATTACTCTTGGTGAAATGGAAACCCTTACATGCCACGCAAGAGCAACCAATGTGGCCTATGCCGGAGGTGACTCAGGAGTCAGGAGGACTGGACTAGCTCCAACTCAATCCAATGTACCGTGATCTACTGTATGTCCCCTTCGATTCAGAGCGCACAAACCACACTGCCAGGGGAGGTGAGCAATCACGCACTGTCTCGGTTCATGCACAAACCACACTGGCAACAGATTACCGTAGGAATCTGCTGCCAGCTGGAGATGTCAAACGATAATCAGGGTCAGCGATAGCTGGCAGCGAAGCGATCACACACAGTGATCATACGCATGAGCCGAGACGGTGATAGAAATGCCTGCCCTGTTCTCCTCCGCCTTTTGAGATGTCTCAAACCTCGATAGCTGGCAGTGGAGCGATCGCACACCCACACAAGCCGAGACGGAGATGGGAAAGGGAAATGCCTGCCTCTTAAACGTTGCAGGAATTCTTTGAGAATACTAAGAAAATATCCTCGGTGTCAACAGTACCTGGCAGAGGAGCGATCACACACAGGAGGCGAGATGGTGATGGGAAGGGAAAATGCCTGCCTGCCCCCCTCTCCTCCGCTTCACCTTTCGAAGGTCGTGCTTTGAGGGTTCAGAGCCGGACTGAACGGGGGGGAAACATTGATGTGAACAGCACGAGTAGAACCAGCAGCAGCAGAAACACCGCAGCTACCACCACTGCCACCACTGCCACCACTGCCACCACTGCCACCACTGGCACCACTGGCACCACTGCCACCACTGCCACCACTGCCACCACTGCCACCACTGCCCTCACCAGCACTGCCAACCCACGTGAGATGAGTCGATTTTTGAGTCGACTCAAAAATCGACTGACTCAAGAATCGACTCCTCTCAAACAGCACGAGCAGAACCAGCAGCAGCAGAAACACCGCCGCTACCACCACCGCCCTCACCACCACTACCAACCTTGCGCCTGCATCGTGCTGGCAGAAGCTCGTATCCCATGAGCGAAATGACAACTGCCAGACCCGTCTCTGGAGGGGATGGGGATGGGGAGGCAGAGGGAGGGGATGGGGATGGGGATGGGCAGGGAGAGGAGCGATGGGAACGGTGGGTTTGTGGCACCTCAAACCATTGCTTTCACTGCCCTCTGCTTTTCCTGACCATGCGGAGGGGGAGGGAAGGAGGGGGGGGCGGGGGAGAAATGGGAACGTGGGGAAGCGGGAAATTGGGAAAGTGGGAGAGTGGGAGAGTGAGTTTGATGCGTTCGAGGTACCTCTCCAGTCACCTCGGATGAGAACACAGGACTTATGACAGGAAAGGGAACAGCAAGAGCCACCAGGAAGAGCAGCTGACAGGCCAAAGTGAACAGGAGGACCAAGAGCAGCGAGGGCAGCACTACAAGCAGCAGCAAGAGGAGTAGAAAGAGCAGCAGCAGGGGCGCATGCGCACCGGCAGATCGGCGAGAATTTCTGCGGGTGTGCGTGGGTGGCAGGGCGGGCCTTGGTGGTCCACAGAGAATGCCTCCGCGTTGCAGAAGGGGCATAGACGAGGGTTGAGAGGAGGGGCGACGGGGCCGTGAGACAGGGCTGAGAGACAAGGCTGTGCGACAGGGCTGGGCGAGGGCTGGGAGAGAGCTGGGAGAGAGCTTGAGTGGTAAGATCATTCAGTGAAGAAGTCGTGAGGTCAGAGGAAGCAGGACAGCGTAGACGCACTTGGAAAACGCACTACACAGTGGATCAAGTCGGGTGCGGTGAGGTGATGTGCGGTGAAGTGCAGTGAGGTGGGGTGAGGTGCGGTGAGGTGCGGTGAAGTGGGGTGCAGTGAGGTAGTGGAAGGAGAGAAGGTATGTGAGGCAAGGCAGACAGTGGGCTTACCGGAAAGCGCAGAGATGACGGGACGCGATGCGGAGATAGCAGTCTGCATGGGAAGGGGAGGTGAGGAGCGGTGCGGTGAGGTGAGGTGAGGTGTGACGAGAGAGAATGTGATGCGAGGGGATGCAATGCAATGCGGAGATAGCAGTATGCAGGGGAAGGGATTCAAACGGACAGGTAGTGTGAATGAAGAGCAAATGAGAGACTGATGGAGTAGTTTTGCAAGGGTGCGGGAAGGGTCATGCGTGGGTGGGGGAAAGGTTGTGTGCGGGTGCGGGACGAAACGTGGGCTTGTGGGCTTGCTACCAGCACCCGAGGCTTGAGGGTTAGCAAAAACGTGACCCACCTGTACAATCACCCACCTAAACAATCACCCACCTGTGTGGTCACCCACCTGTACAATCACCCACCTGTACAATCACCCACCTGTGCGGTCACCCACCTGTACAATCACCCACCTGTACAATCACCCACCTGTACAATTACCCACCTGTACAATCACCCACCTGTACAATCACCCACCTGTGCAGTCACCCACCTGTGCAGTCACCCACCTGTACAATCACCCACCTGTACAATCACCCACCTGTACAATCACCCACCTGTACAATCACCCACCTGTGCAATCACCCACTTGTGCAATCACCCACCTGTGCACAGCCCTTTCTTGCAGCATCTCGCAGTGTTCAGTCTGGGGTAGTTATGGAGTGAGGGAAGGCGGGTGGGACAAGAATTGAGGCAGAGGTTGGCCGTGTTGGCAGAGCTAAGGTGGACGCGGACGAAATGGGATGAGAAAGACGTTGAAGGAAAGTAACCGTTCAATAAGTGAACAAATGTGATTGGCTTTCGCCAATCTTGATGCTTCTTGTTCCCGCCAAAAAATATTTCCATGCGGATCTCCTCCGTCGCATGTCTACGTGCTACACCTGCACGACTGTTGCCCAACAATGGTTTCCATCGCCAGGCCAACGTTGGTTTCAAGCTGGAATTGGGTTCCGTGACTGGCTCCTCTCCATCCCGAAGTCACTAGTTTTATTCCTAGCATATTTTAGCTGACAACAATAGGTGTTTGTGGCCAAGGTAAGTAACTTTCGACCCTGCGGAGATGCGTAAGACTGTTACGTAGCCTTGTATCGTAATATTTTTCCCTCCGCAGGCTATCGTTACCTTTCCGCAGGGGCTAGTTTCCTGTCTCGCGCCTTCGCCATCTCCCCTACCCTCCAGTCCTTCGTCCGCTGTCCGGTCCCCTCCCATCACCTTCGCGGGTCTCTCTCCTCCCTCCCCCCCCCCCCCGTCTAGGGTTTAGACCTAAACGGGGGACCCGAGACCTTCGCTCTGATACCATGTCAGAATCCCAACCACTAGACCATTGGGATAAAAGGGCTTGTTAAGTAGCGGGTCAGTGCGCCCATAACCCCCCAGGACAACGAGCCTGTAACCCTTCCCTAGAATCAATCGGGGATCACCAGTGGACCTCTGACAAGCGCTCATTCTTTGTTGTATCGCTCGGTTTGTCCTGGCCCGCGCAGCGCGGCGCGAGTCTCATGGCCATGTCTGCGCAAGGCACGCTCGCGTTAATGTGGTGAGAGCATTTGCGCACCGAGGCCCTGATGTTAGCGCGGTGGGGGTGTTTGCGCGTGGTGAGAGTGTTCGCGCGCGATGAGGATACTTGCGCGCGGTGAGGATACTTGCGTGCGGGGAGGATACTTGCGCGCGGTGATGGTAGAATTTGCGCGTGGTGGGGGTATTTGCGCGCGGTGAGGGTAGTAGTATTTGCACGCGGTGAGGGTAGAATTTGCGCGCGGAGAGAGACGTGGTGCTCGATGCTCGAAGCACCGCCTGCCGTGTGACCCTCGTAGTAAGTAGGAGCTTGCAAATGAAAGACTTTTGAGGCCCCTCAAAAGTTGCGCGCGGTGAGAGACGTGGTGCTCGGTGCTCGAAGCTCCTGTCCCCCATAACACTCCATCGCGGATCTAGCAGCCCACAAAATTTGGCCCTCGTGGGTTTTTCTACGGAAAAGCGTACAAAAAGTCCCAACAAACCCCAGAAACCCTCGCAATGTTCCACCCTGGCTTAGACGCGCCTCGCTCGGACCGCACATTACAATAATACATCAAGCCGCTTCAACATTCCTTGCGGCGCGCAAAAAAACACTGCCACATCGCCAGACAAACATCCCGCGTACAGTCCTCTTCCACCCCTGGACACAGTACTTGACAGTACAGTACACGGGATATGCGTTCAATTCATGCATATCCCGTGATTCCACTAAGCTGCTAGATTACTTTGCAATGTTCCCCAAATTCCATTCCCACCATTTTCAGCGTTGAACTTGACAAATCGACACAATCAGTATCCTACCACTACAAACAGTCGAGCCCCTGTTGGACATAAACATCAACACGTCCGCGAGCGCGTCCACATTACACCCTGTACAACTACTCGCACAGTAAAAACTTGTTTAGCAGCATGAACTTCTTGTTCACATAGGACTTGCACACGTGCACCACCCACTTTATGCACTCCACTTCCACCA